ATTATCCAAAGCAGTTCAAGGGTTTAAAGGCCAACTACCTGTATATGTTCGAGAGGCAATTCGAATCGAACGCACCCAGACTATGGATGATGACCGGAGGGTGTTTATGGATCTGAAAGAATGCGATAAATCATCGCAATCGAAACACCATTCTCGTTTATAGTTATAACATCATATCACCTATTATTTTGGAATCATTATTTGTCGTTAACAGGTAGATGTATACACACACACACACACACATATATATATATATATTTATTAACTATTACTGCGGTACATTGCGGGTCGCGTAAATTATTGTAATGAAGTGCGTATTAATGTAATGATTTGTTTTTATTACTCACATTACGTTGTTTAATTGGTACAACATAAATACCGTGCCTACATGCAACCCGCTGTGCCAGGTTTACTGAGAATGTGAGGGGTGTATATGCTCTCAAGGTCCGAGGATTATTTTATGCAGCTTCATAACAAGTTAAATCGTTTGATACCCAAGTGCTTCAAATTTTCGATTAAAAGGAAATAATGACATTATTGTATTAGTACATAAATATTTTGTTTTTATAATCTTATAAACTACGGATCACACAAACAATGCTTAGTGGTCAGTTACAGTTGGTTAGTGTTTATTGGGTAATTACCGCGTCTTGACCGATTTAGTATAGTACTGCAGTAATAGCAATTAATCTGTATAGGTATATGTGTTAAGTAGTTGATCTTTTAGCTATTATAGAAATTACCGTGTGATAATGTTATTATTACAGGCACATCGCAGCAACACATACCTTATTCTCATAAAATATTAATTTAATCCATCTATATCAAGAGCTGTAATAAGAAGGTTTATTTTATTTCGTTTAACATATCAGCACATATATACTCACATACCGTCAGCAATTAATATTTTAATACTTCATTGATATAATAAATTAGTAGTTGAACTTTGTTAGTGCAACACTATAGTGGAGTGTAGGATTATCGATAATTTGTGCAGCTAAATAGAATATTACATCTACGCCAGTCCAATACCCAGTGGCCAGGCACGGAAATTTTCTTGTATTACAATAATTAAATTATATTTATACCAAATAGTTTTCCATGTGCGTCTACCTTTCGATATAATACACGTGATATTTGCATATATTTGCGCGTCACTTCAGTATAATGGCACGTTTAAATGGTACAGTTTTATTAATACACGATCATCGTTTCGAGTTACGGTTTCAAAACGTCTTAAGAAAAATAAAATTCTAAATATTTATAGCACGTAGGTATACAAAATGTATTTTGAAACCGAACTTCAAACCTCTTTCCCACGTAGCTTACATTACTAAGTTATATTACCTACAGAGTCAATAAAAACAAAAACAATTTAACAACCGAATTCGTTTCGGAACACTCGTGATGACGTCGTGAGTTACTAAATGTTTACGGCCTGCAATATAATGGCATACGGGTATCGATATTGACGCGAACTACTAAGAAATTACTACTGAGTGCATAAAGATGTGACATCTGTGGGCTACTGATTGTAGCTAATCTATATTAAAAACGCACCATGGTGAAATCTTCAAACCTTCCACACGAGGTTTCTCAGTGAAGCCTGGTATTATTTACGAAAAAAAAATTATAAAAAAATAAAAAATTTACTGCGAACAAAATTATCATGCTTTGGCCGAAATATTACTTGTACCGCTATCGTCTGTTCACTACCAATAATGTATTCATTTTTTCTTTTCTTTACACAACGCTATTCATATACAACCGGAGTGGCAGACGATCGTTTAAACGGTTTGACTTTTCATCACCATGTAGTTTAAATACATCGGGTGTGCACGGGGTATGCAGCATATGTTAACGTATACCCGGAGAGCAGACGCTTATTGTAGGGAGTACATAAACAAAGTCAGATACGGTAATAGTAGTATTGATACCAGAAATTAAATTATTTATTAAAAAACGAATCTATGAACGATTAATATAATATTAAAATTTCAAAATTGTCGGATAGTGGACGTCTTGAAATTTTTATAAATTCTTTCAACTTTTTGTTACCATTTCCATATTAAGTTATTTAATAAAATAATATCTTACATTTTTATGCAAAATGTAGTGTAATTAGAAATTACATTATATAGAAAATGTATTTATATATTATGATACACAGCACTCACAATATGTAATCCTAAGCCATCTAATTTAAATTTTATTCATATTTTTATCGAGTTGAATATTATAACTTAAACTATAATATAAAACTTTGGTATTACCCTAAAATACAATGTTATATCATGGTAACACAGAAATCATAGTTCTCTAGTTCCAAAATATAAGTTAAACACAGTGATGTATTGCTAAAATAAATCATGGGTTTACGCCTTATTTCATGTAGTAACTATCATATGGTAGGAACCAAAAAAACTCTTTCATGAGCTACACATTCTTAATTATGACTATTTGATAACAGAAACTTGTTGTTAAATAATAACAAATTTGAATTTTTCGTTAAAAAAAAAAAAAAAAAATAATAATAATATATCCGTTACCGAATCACGTCATAAATATAACCACAAGTTAAGTTAATCAAGGGATTATGTAGTTATACGGCCGTATACCCGCGTATCATCAATTTCTCATAAGCTATGGATAAGAATAGCGTATTGGGTATACGCCGTATATCCTCCAATACACCACTGGTTAAACATTTTTAGTGATAAATTAATGAATACAATTATTTTGTTTTATAACTTACCATAAAAATGAGTTCCTTTAGTTTTAGCGGAGTTTTTTTATTAAAAAAAAAAAAAAAATCAGTTTTTTATTTTGACAAAATATATTTAATTCAAAATATTACACAAACAAAATTTTTGTAGCAACAATTATACATATAAATATTATAATTTAAATATCAACCTAAAAACATATATAATTACTATAATTTAAATATCAACCTAAAAAAATATATATAAATCAAAATATTCTTTATAACTAATCTAGATTTTGCCTTTATTTGCATGTTAATATTAGATCAATTTTACATACAATTGGGTATTTTGGGACGGATTTTTAACAGCAAAATAATAAGGATGTATCTTTGTAATGTACTTTATACTACTTTATATATTATAATACTAAAAAATATTAGATTTGATAAAGGAACTCCGTTAAAATTTAAAAATATATATTTCATGTTTAGAAATTTAAAAAAATATAAATTTCATGTTTTGATTACAAGAGTACAAAATAAATATTAATACACTCAACATTGTTTTCTGGACATTAGTACAATCATAAAGTTATCTGCTTAAAAATAAATAAAAGTTTCACAAAATAGTACATAAATAAATAAAAAAAAGAAATACAATAATGTTGCAGAAGGCTAAAGACCATAAAATACATGAATTATACCAATATGAGTATTAATTTCTTGTTAACTTTAATACAAACTTGCATTTTAAACTATAGTACACAAGTGGCTATTAATTTATTTAAAAGCAACTGAATTAGTTAAAAAATTAGTTTTAGTTTTAAAATTGTTTTTGCTGATATTTTAATGGTTAAATAACATATGGCTTATATTGTAAATAAAAATGTATTTCTTTTAATTATTAATTTATGCATGGTAACAATAATAAGTATAAAGGCAAGGGTAGATTTAGAGCATGGTTAATGGAGGTAATTGCACTTCTTCCCATTCAATAAAAATAAAAATATTAATTTTCTAAGCATCAGTTTTTGATATATTTTAATCAGATATGTATTTAGAATATATAGATATAAAACTATCCTCCTTCCACTCGAGCCTTTATTATCCACCCTTGTAAATACAGTTTTTGAACAATTTAATTAAAATTAAATAATTATTACATTTTGTTTTTTTACCTTAATCTAAATGTTAACTTAATTCTAGTAATAATTTATCTATAATTCTTATATTTTTTGTCTACCCATATATATAATTTTTAATAACAAATAATAATTTGATTTGGTTCAATGTCTTTGTGTCATCGTAAATGAAAGACACATTGACTATCACAAATTGGTATAAGGTACAGTATTATATTATATTTATAAATACTAAAACAATATATATTTACTAATTTTTGATATGTAATTTGAATAAAGTTACAAAGAAAAAGAATAATCAGAAGTAAGAATAAATGAGCAATAAAAAAACATTAATAAGATCAAAAATAAATGAAGAAAGAAACTTTTAGCTTATGTGAATTTAAAAATTGTTCAATGTAATGTTAACTTTATAAAAGTTGAGTTCAAGATAGAAAATAGTAAATTGAAAATATATTCTAACAAGAGGAAACAAGAAGTATTTTTAATTTATTTTTAAATAAAGATACTGATTAACTAAAAATATATAAATAAATATACTACATAATAAAATTTCTATTATTGATTGGCAACTTGGCTAAAACTTATCCTAAATAATTCTAATTTAAATTAATAATAGGTTACATTCATCAGTCTTTTAGTTCATAATATTTTTTCGTTATACAATCAAATATTTTAAATACAACATTAAATTGAAAGAGCTAACATTACATATAAATGCATTAATATACAGCTATGAATAACTAAACAAATATTTTCATTGATGCAATGTTTTACAAAAAGTACATTTAATTAGATATTTATATTTCATAAATTAAATTTTAATTCAACTATATATTGACATTTTTTATATATCATATTAAATAACAATTATTTACAATTTTAATAAAATATATACTTGATTTTATCTAAACTCAAATATACAATATTTATATTATAAAATTTGTTACATTTAAAATACATACACATACTAAATTAGTTGCATTTAAGTTGATTTTCTGGTTTTATCGAGGTCACAGCTTAGTTTGACTACCTACATTACTATACAAATTCATATTTTACAATAAAAATTGATTTAACAATTAATATTAATTATTTATTCTTTTTTATCCACACCTAGATACTTAATCTAATAATATTTGAGTGATTATAATTTCAAATGAATAAAAACACAATATCTATAATATTTTAATAAAGAACCTAATATTGAAATTAAAATAATGTAGACAAAGTGAATCTTTTAAATAGCTCTTACATCTATGCCTGTATACAACCCATTACATTTAACTAACAATCGTAAAACTGGATTAAGATTGTAAGGAGTTAAATCATTTTTAATAAGTTGGTCAAGACTAGTCTGTAAGCTCTTCAATGTAGTCATTGTACTTTGCAACTTTGTTTCACAACAAAGACTAAACTCTGACCATCTATTGCAAATGAACTTTAATATTCGCATAATGTATAATAAAAAACTAGTGTCGCTACCTAATAATAAATCTAATATCAATTCATTTACATCATTATTATAAGAAAGTGTTTGTAAAAATTCAACAAAACTAGCTGTGGGATTTAGCACATGTCGTAACATTGGCAAGGAGTTACGACGATAACACAATACCAATGAAATATCAATGGTACAAATTAAACTTTCAATAAGTACATCATTTCGATCAGAAAACAACTGAACAACCCATTGTGCGATTTGTGTTTCTGGTAGATAAGACATACACTTCTTAACACAAGAGTCAAGTTTTTTTAAAACTTCATTGACACTACTTTCAATTATAGCCATTTCTGCATCTATTTCTTCAGAATCTTCAGATTCATCACATGAAGAATCACTAGAAGAAGAATCATTTTTTGTTTCTTTGATGATTATTGCTAATGCTTTTAAAATTAATAAAACAGTATCTTGTAATAGCTTTTTATCACCATCATCTTCTTCTCCTCCACCAAAATCCCCTGGACCTTTACGGAATGGCATATTATTCAACATATTTTTAGTTTTTACAACTTTAACTAATTCTCTAGCCAACATACAAGGTTCTTCTTGCATTGTACCTTGTACAGCAAGAGTAGTTGTGTAACACAAACTTTCGTTGAAAAGATTAACTATGTTTTTCCAAATAACTGATTGAACTTTTGGTCGTCTTAAAAGAATAAGCATTTGTCCTAAATCTGCATAAAAATATTTTATGTTCATAACATTGAGATTAGTTTTTATAGAAACCATTGAAGTCCATAATTTGATAAATTCTATGATAGCAAGATTTCCCATTTTATGATTGAATTGTTCATTTGTAGTTTCTGTACAATGGTCAAAAGATGACATATACCTAACAAATTTCATTACAATCATTTGCCATTGAGTTTGTAAGACTTCAATAACTTTAGTTTTAACAAGACTTATTCCAAATTCATCATCCATCTCAATTTCTTCATCTTCAAAAATTAATTTCCGACTAACACAATTTTCTGGCATCTTGATATTTTTTTCTGAATCAATCATTTGCGCATCTCTCCAACATAGTACACGTTTAAAAACTGCTATAACAGGACATAATGTTTCTGGTGACCGCCTGAGAAATAAATCTGTAAGTTCTTCTACCCATTTATTATCTAGTTTATTTTGCGAGCATAGAAATATATCTGCTAAAGCATTACTAGCTGCAAATGATATATAAGGATCTGTACGAATAAGTAAAGATACAATTTCATTTACAACACTAGTTTTATTAGAAATCAAATAGTTGCTTAAACGCTCAACACTTGTACATATAGTACCTTCAGATTGTTGCTTTAGGGCAATATCACAAGTCAACCGAGCAAAACTCAAGAAATTCAATAGCCGTTCACGACTCCAACTACTAACATTTGAAACCCTAAAAACTTCTTTTAACATACATGTTTCAGGTAATTGACAAAGACAATGCTTTGTCAAGTTTAGACTAATTGTATCAACATTTAAGTCAACTAAACGAAATTCACTGTCATTAATTTTCTGCTTTTTAGTAAGTGGCAATGTTTTGTTCATATTTTCTTGCTCTTCCATACTCCCGGTGGCGGTTCAAAATTCTATAATAAAACAAAAAAGCCAATTAATTTAATTTTAAAATAATATAAATATAATTGAATATTTTAACATCAATAATAATTTCTAGAAACTGGTAACTAACGAACAAATGGATGGATGAATACAATGAGGGAATAAGGTATTTTTAACTTATGTATAGAAACTTAATATATAAAACACTTTTCATTTCAAATATGAAATATTATTTTTAAAATGTTATAGAACACAGTATAAGTATATAAATACATAATAGGTAGTTTAACAGAAACTAAGATTATAGAAAATTGAAGGAATAAATATACAAATTAAATGGTATATTTAGGCTTATGTGCCGTACAGACCAAGCAACATGTTGTCAATATGTATCCCATCAATTTGTAACAAGTTGATGGATACACGTCAATATCAGGTGGTATAATATCAAGGAAATTTGTTGCTTGTATCTCTGTTGTCCATTTTAAATAGAAAGCACAGATACTTGTTTTGAGATTTTTAGAGCTACCAATCACAAAAGTTTTACAAAATCAGATTTTGTTAGCCTAATAAAATTACAAAACGAACAGCCATCGTTTAAAAGTAATTTCAACATTAAATTATCATCATAGCTTATTCTATTTTTTAAAAATTTTGTTTACTACCATCTTTTTTTTTCTTTTTTTTTAACATGAGCAGCTATAATGATGAACACTGCACTAGCACCAATAGTAGTAGCTGTCAGATTTATTTAAGTATTAATTCACCTCCTTTAACTTGTTAACTAATAAACAATAACTTGTAACAACTGCCCAACAGACAGATGTGGACTCATAACTATAGTTTTAATTAGGACGCGTCACACTGTTGACATTTATCAGTATTCAACAAATTTGTTGTCAATACTCGGTAACGTGTTGTCAACAAAATGTTGCTTGGTCTGAACATACACTTAGATCAACTGCGGAATAAAGGGAAGTAAAAATATTTTAAAAGATCTTATTGACTTCCATTAAAACCATAATTGGGAAAGAATTTTTTTTAATAGTTTTTCCAGAAGTAATAATAAAACATAGAAATAAATAAAATAATAAAATATGTATTGTACAGAGAAACATTGCTCAAACCTAATACATAATAATAGAAAGAGAAAGTTGGTAGATAAATTAATTGATAATAAATTATATTTTTTAAAAATTATAATGATTGTGAAATAAAATAAATAATCTTTAAGATAAATAGGTACAATCACATTTTAATAATATAATAAAAGAAATAACTCTTTAATAACATTTTCCACAGAGTTATTAACAGTTTAGAAGTTTTAACTCCTTGTATGATAATATCTTAGATAATATGTTACTTAAAGTAGATAGAAAAAAATCCATACTACCTAACTAAATAGTCTTGTATAAAAATCTCTAAATCTATGAAATATATATTATGATCAATAAAACCAGATTTAATAAAATATTATTATTTATAGAACTTTTATTTCCTTATTTAGGTGATTGTTATTTTGATTAAATGCAAATATTTTTACTTTATTATAATAATTTTAAAAATATTCTTTTGGATGATTTTAAAGCATGGAAAACATATAATATGTAAATATATTTATAATGTTAATTATTGAAATATATATATATATATATATATATATATATAATAATAATAATAAAATAATAGTTTAAAGCAGACATATGGTTTCTAATCATTATTCCAGATTATCAGTTATATAATATCTAATATAATAGGTACACAAGTTCAAATAAATATTATAATTGTTAATATTTCTTGAAATTGTAAATAACTTAACTAATTTCAAATAATTTTACTTGTAAATTATGAAATATAAATTAATAATGTTATATAATTATTAAGAATAATGAAATCAATAGGTATTTATTATGAGATTAGTTTTTAAGATAAATTATACAGCATGAATTTTAAATTTTGAACAAATGGGATTATTGAGATTATATATATGATTATTCCAGAACAATAATATATGAATAAAAATTTGGAGAAAACAGCTTCAAAGTTGATATAAAATACTTATAGTTCTGTTAAGAGTTTTAAAAAATAATATTTTCAAAGGTACAAATAGTTCTTTAAAAAAAAATAAATATTTATATTAGTAAGTAATATATAAATAATTGTTAAAATAATGATTCAAGAAGAAAGCCCTTATTATTTTATAGTCACGATTTATCTAATAGCCAATATTTAAAAAAGTAATATTTTACTATAAAAAATCAAAACTATGGCACCTAGGCTAATAATAAAATAGTTCAAACACATATTTGAAAAGGAAATATTTTCAACATTATATATTCTCTCATAAAATGTTGACTAATAAATAAATAATAATATGAATATCTTCTCTGTTAAACAATATTTTAGATTTTTCACACTGAAATTTTGTTATTCTAGAGATTATTCAGTTAGATAGATAGTACACATTTATCTCATCTTTTATATTATCACTAATATAAAAAAAAGATAATAGTTATCATAGTAGGTAATCAGAAAAATAATATTTATGTACATATAATATCAAGTAGGTATAATATGAACCAAACAGATATGGTTGACACCTACATTTATTAGTTTTATTATAAAATGATATAATCAAAAGTGAGATATAGCCCCATCATGACATTTCAAATAAATAAGTTATAGATATAATGTAAAAAGTACAAAATAATAGTATTTATATTATTTTAATAAATGGTTATTTAATAATAAAATATAATAAAATATAAATTCTAATATTTCATGAACAGTATTAATATAAAATGAGGTAATTTGATAAATAATCACTAGAAACAAATATTTTTACTAATAAATTACCTATATAGAACTTTGTGTATATGTATGGAATGTACATTTAGAGTTAAAATTAATAATTTGTTGGATATCATATATTTTAGTAATAATATATATTATTATAATAAATCTATAAAATATTATAACTTACTTTATTAAAAATAATACTATAAATAGTGTCCATTTTAAAGTGTAATTTTGTTATTTTGATATTATTAAACTGGGTATCTAATTATTCTAACTAATTTATAAGAAAATAAAATAAAGCATATGGCAGAAGTAGATATTTATAATATAAATATGTAACAAAATTACTTTGGATTCAAATCAAATGGAAATATAATTTGCATTAAGCAATTAGATTATTTAATAATAGAAAATTGTATAGTTGAGAACCGAAATAGGTATTTCAGTTATTGTTGGTTGACAGAAAATATTTACAATCCTACAACAGACACGGCTCCTAACATAGGTAGATAAATAAATTAGTAATTATAAGTGATGGTTACTTGTTTATGGACAAGCAATAAAATATGTTACACAGCAAGAGATAAGTAAAAAATAATTGGCAATGCTCAATCAATGTGTTACTGCCAAAACAAATAATAACATATGTAGGTATTGCCCATCAAAAAAAAAAAAAAAAAAAAAATTAAAAAATCCTACATGGATGGTTATGGAAAGCGGAATGAGCACATAACAATAAGTGCGGACTTGCGGGGGCAGGCGAAAGGAGAAAAGGTTTTGGGAGAGCTTTGAGGGGCAACAGGAACTTGTATGAGAACCGAACGAGCGATGGACGACGAGCCAGCGTCCGTCTTGACGGGCATGGGACGGATGGTCCGCCACGTTCGTCGTGGCCATATTGTACGGCTTCTGGTGTTACGCCAGAATACCTGTCCGCGGCCATTGCCGCGTCGTCTACAACGCAGTTTTCCAAACCCACTCACCCCGGGCACACGGTGTCGTCACGAAACGTCCGCCGGCGGCATGATTGCTGCGCTTCCCGTCCATCGTCGGGCCGCAGCGGCTTCGGCTGCGGCGGCGACGGCGGCGACGGCGGCTCCTCCTCGGTAAACAACAGCACACGCACAACGGCGCGCGCGGCCGTGATGAAACGTAACCCGTACGGACGGACACATGCACGCGGACGTCAGCCGAACCGTTTTCGCGTAGACATTTTCCCGGCACTCGTTCGCTGTCGGCCCGTCGCGGGCTATCCGTGTTCCCGGTCGCCAGTCCACGGCGAAAACGTACGGAACACGATAACGTTTATCCCGGATCTCCGATAAGGGAGATGAGATAAAAAAAAAAAAAAAAAAAAAAAAAAAAAAATTACGATAAACTATCAACGCGACGTGTAGCGTGATACGCACGGAACGGTGCGACGTCGTCGGTTGCCGAC